AAATGTGATGAGCACACGAAAATAACTAAGATAATTGACAAATTATTCTACGAAACAAAATCCATCGATAGTTCGCCTAATTCAGCTCTAATTGAGTTGAAATTTGAGGACTGGTTAGTTTTTTTTTTTTAAATTGGATTTTGAATTACGAGTTGAATGAAAATTCTATTCTTCAAATTGGATGCGCACTGTTAAAAAGTAGACCAATTCATTGATATTTCCTGCTCCTCGCAAATATCAGAACATATCCACAAAATTTTAATATAGAAAGTGTTGTTATTGAGAAAGAAGAAGTTTTCTGTTTTGCCTGAAGACGGATCTGGATTCTGTATTCGATTCATATTTAGTTCTGATGAGTGATATGAGTTGAATATACCTACCAAGTATGAATCGATTATACACAGTGGTTCAAAACTTATGACCTGACCATAGATGAAGATTCTGCCAAAATCGAGATTACGTTCTGTATCACAGTTATTAAAGATGGTGGATTCTTAATAAATACAGTTTTGAACAGAAAGCACGAAAATGAGAAGGAAGCATGTCTTGATCGGAAAAAATACAGTTTCGAACAGAATGCATGAGAATCAGAAGAGAGTATTCCTCGATTGGAAAAAAATCCAAAAAACAGTACGAAACATACAGGGTATGTCACGACCAGCTTACACTATCTCTATATCGAGAATCAGTCATATGAAAATATGCATACTCATATTTTAGAATACGCGCTCTCTTCATTTTGAATAGTTTCAGCAATGCAGTGTTGCCGTTTCTATCAAAAAGTAGCAACAACTCTGTTATATCGAATAGAATACCCTGTATTTCATTGCATTTTTTGATTCTCTTTGGAGAGCTGATTTCATCAATACATCAAACTTGGGGTCTATCGTGAATGATTACAGAGATATAGGGTGTTCAAAATCGAGATTTTTCAACTTCAGGATTTGTTTGTGCCGAAACTATTCATTATCGGTCAAAACGGCTCACATGTCCCTATCCCAACTTTTCATTTACTATTTACTGATATTCAATCGGAACAGATACAGGGTGATCAGAATTCTGGATCTTGAACCAGCCTAAACACCCAACCCCTTGCCCCTTCCCAGTCATCAATGTACTTTACTTGTATGGAAACAAATTGCTTTCGGTTGTGAAGAAATGACGAGAACCAACTAAGACATATGCCTCTTATTCCATACATTTCTAATTTCGACCTCAGTTTTTGATGGTTGACACAGTCGAAAGCTCGACTAAGATCACGAAGAATTACCGCTGGACATTCACCTCTGGTTCAACGAATTCAATGGTTTTGTTCAGTAATGAGAAAATAGCAGTGTTCGTAGATTTTTCAGAACGAAATCCATGCTGCCTATTACTCAAGACAAAATGTTCATCAAGGAACCAATTAAGACGTTCCATAAAGGCATAGGTATTCGAAAACTTTCAAGAGTCCACAAGGGACTGTTACAGGACAATAATTCTCCACAAGGGTTGTGTCTTTCGTTTTGAAAATAGGAGTGACTACCAGTTATCAACTTGTGTGGAAAATCACCTCTCACAAATGACGTATTTACCAGATGTGTGATAATATTATCAAAGGAAGAACTGTTCTCAATATAAACATCGGTATGTCATCCGGACCAGACGATTTTTTATTCTTCATTTTGTTTTTTAACAATGAGAGTAATTCATGTTCCGTAAATGGGTTCAAGAACATTGTGTAAGGGTTGAAATCCTTTTCATTATCAAATACCCCATTATTACTTGAAGGTATCTGTTTAACCAATTCGATAGGAGCCTTGACGAAAAAATCATTGAACTTGGAGGCAATAGTTGCCGGATCTTCTTTAAGCCAATAACACGGTCTCCGAGAATGAAGTGAAAGAACTGCAAGTCAATTTATCTTCCATTTCATTTCGCGGTTACATATGTATATATAACTAATGAACAACCACTAAGTTCGCATTTTTTCAAAAACAAATCACAGAATTTGACTGACTGATATTTGATTACAGAGATAACGAACTGAATATCTAGCGTTTTTTGTTTTTATTTTGATAATAGATTCCTCCCTTTTGTTGAACATTTCAATTAAATCTAGCAAATTATAAAACATATTTTTTTTCTCGATAACGGCAGATGCGTGAAAATTACAAGAGACCAAAAAGTTCATGAACAAAACTCATTCCATATTTCGAAATATACCAGTGACGCACCACGAAAAATCATGTAGCGAAATGGCCTGATACATGAAAAAATATTTCCCTGTAGTTTATTATTCCAAATTCTTTGGAATTTACTCTCCTCGTTTCTATAAAATAAAAATATGGATATTACTTCAATATTCGTGTAGTAAGGACAAATCAAATGATTTGCCCCAAAATGTCACTGCGTTTAAAGAATTTTCCTATCAGTGACATTTTTGGGCAAATCATCTGATTTGTCCTTACTACCCAGGTAACAAGCTGACGTCATTTGTACGTCAATATATGGTCATTTATGGTCATTGACGTCATATGACCTCAAAATGACGTCATTTTGACGTACTTGATATGACGTTATATAGACGTCCTTGATATGTCGTCATTATGACGTCATCTGATGGTCATTTTCATAACTAATTATGACCATCATTTATTGAGTCATCTACATCAAGGAAAATCCATAATCAAGAAGTTTCCCATCTCTGTTATATGAAAACGTTAGTAGTTATGTTATATAACATATATTATTATGTCACTCATCATATATTATGCTTCATAATAATTTTTCCTCTAATCTGTGCGAGATGTGTGTTTTCGATGGTCTCTGAGATATTTGTTAATTATATACCTTCTGTGCAAAGTATTCTCCCTATAGCTATCAAAAATATAAGACCGAATGTCACATCATAAAAAGCTTATAACGTTGTTATTCCGGAATGCGAATTCAAATCAGAGCGGGAGAGTGCGTAGAGAACTGTATTTGATTGGTCGGCACGGACCTTGCGCAGACATGCGATCGTCGACCGCCAGCGCCAACCCACAGCCGTATTCAGAAGACGGCTGTGGCGGCTGTGGCCAAGCCGTTCACTTTCGCTTCGCCGTTGCGGCCATGATGACCATAACAACAAAATAACAATACATAGAAGGCCATCATTATCATGTTATTCGGCTATCTATGTGGTGTGGTGTGGTGGTCATACTTATTCATATTCATATATCAAGTAGTAGAATTTGAGGATGGCAGCATGGTCGTTATTTTAGACAAGTGGTGTATGCCGAAAAAGCAGAATGTGAATTGGACGCCATTGAAGGAATACCATAGGGTTCTGAGAAATCTCTTGAGTGCATCATCCGAATGGGATAAGTTCCCAATAAAAAGAACATTTTATGAAACTGGTATTTATAGTACCTACCTATAATATTATTTTGCATTTAATGTGGTGAAGGAACATCAATATGATTATACAAAAAAAATCTCATCTCTTCTGATAATATTGATACAACCCTAATGCAACAGTGTTTTTTTTACCTACAGAAAATTTCGAAATAGCACAAAATAAACTGAAACATGCAGAAGATTTCAGTGATATAAATAATCGTAAAGATCACGTCATTTTGACGCCATTAGGATGTCGTCATTTTGACGTCATTAGGATGACGTCATCTTGAAGACATGAAAATGACGTCATTCGTCTTTGACTTAGAAGGTCATATAAACGTCATTATGACGTCATTTCGGAAGTCATCCTGACGTCAGGCCTGACGTGATAATGACGTACAAATGACGTCAGCTTGTTACCTGGGTACACGTATATTGAAATAATATCCATATTTTTATTTTATAGAAACGAAGAGAAAAAATCCCATCAAATTTGGAATAATCTCCTCGATTAACCTACAGACAGTATCTCCCTGTAGATTCTTACAATAACTTGTCCTGTTGTACGATGTAAACCCTTAAACATAACCTGTTTCGAATTCGATTTATTATCAGTAAAACTAAAAGAGCTGTAGAAGAAGAAGAAGAAATAAAAACGCTTTGTAGATCGGAAAGAAGCGGTTGCGGACACGTGATTATAGGAAAAAAAGTATTTTTTCTGTGACGGGAAAAAAGTTTGGCATTTCATCTATGTTGGCAGGTTATAAAATGCCACTTTTCATAAATTACTTTTTTCCCGTGGGAAAAAAGTGAGTACTTCTTTCCCGGATATATATCACATATATATACTCTGTTAATGGCTTTTGTTGTGCTATAGTTCCGAAAAATGAGTCAATAATACCGTCTCCGAGAAAGACCTGCAAGTCCTTTTATCTTCCATTCGACTTCGCGGTTTCGTATATTACTAAACAACTACTGAATTCGCAATTTTTTAAAATCAAATTACAGAATTGAACTGACAGAAGTGACATCAGATATTTGATTACTTCAAAAGAATGATAAAGATGTCTATAAAACGCAGGTGTCCCTACTGTTTATATTTAAAATTTCACGTCGCTGATTTTCAGATTTCGAAATAATGTAATATCTTCTCAATATTGATTCGTCCTTCCTTCTGTCACAGAAAAAAATAGTGTATTATACACGGGAAAAAATTAGATTTTAGCTCACGGTTTTTTGTCTCCCTCCGCTACGCGTCGGGAGACAACACAACCGTGAGCTAAAATCTACTACTTTTTTCCCTTGTATAATAAATAACTATATATCGACGCCCTTGCATTATCAATATTATCATGTTGGGAGCGAGAATATTGAATGTAGGTTGCGAGTGAGAACTGCCTGCAGGCAGTCGCTTGCAACTGACAACTATAAAAAAATAGTTGCTGACATTCAAAATTTTCGTGTTTTGTGTCTTGTGATTTATTTATTAAGTGTGGTTAGGAAGTTAGGTTCAGAAATCGATAACAACAAAACAAAAATCAAGTTGATATCTTATTCAAAGCCAAAGCAAAACATTATTTTAAATATCTTTTATCAATAGCTAGATTCCTCATTGTCAGAATCGTGAAAATAGAATAATGGCAGGGGTAGATATAGTTATTGAAGAAAAGAAAGACGACGCCATTGACAGACAAAAAGTGAGTTTATTTCTATGTTAATGTTACCATTTATCTGATATTCAAAATCTTCACTAGAGTACTGATGATGAATTCATGCGCGACTTAACTCAACTTATTCCTAACTTAGGAATTAGAGAAGGTGTATGGTGGATTCAGGATTTATTCAATAATTTATATTTGAAATAGACCAATTATCACTCAATATTCTTAAGTTGAGGAAAGTCATGCTTGAGTTCACCATTACATGAAAATAATTACTTGGATATGAGTAATGTGGTAAGTTCCTAGCAATCCACCATGCTAGCAACCAAGTATAATATTGTAATTAGCCTGAAATCATATAGAAACACTAAATTTTTATCCATATCACCAGAAGGAAGGAATGCTCGAAGTCATCTCCACAAATTTTAATGCTATTTTTAACTGAATCATGAGGGACATGTTTCGGTCTTATAAAAGACCATCTTCAGCCCAATTGAAAAGTCTACAATACAAATACAAATGATATTGAAATGAAAGGATTACCCGAGGGATTACCTATTTTATGCTAGACTTACTTGGAGTTGAAAAAATTATTTTCTGTCAATGCCCATAGTCGAGAGTTCCAAATTTTTTTTGAATAAACAGGTTCTCAATAAATGATCCATATTCTAGCTAATCCAGCCATTTCATTAAAATTTCATTTCAGGGAGATATAATTCTTATTTTTTTAGTCATTTTGGCACAGGCACAGGGAATTGAAATACCAAACACAAATAATGATGATGATATTGTCCCAAACTTTTTATCCATATTCTAGCTAATCTAGCCATTTCATAAAGATTTTATTTAAGGAAGAAATATAATTCTAATTTCTTAGCCATTTTGGCACAGGCACAGGGAATTGAAATACCAAACACCAATAATAATGATGATATTGTCTCAAATATCACACCAAAATACTTCGTACTAGATACCATTTGTAAAAAGAAATTGTTCACAATTCTTGCAGGAGATTCTTTTGTGATATCAAATATTCTTTGGTGATATCAACTATATTTTGAACTCTGCTGTGTCTAATTAAAAACATCAGTTTTCAATCATCAAAGAAGCATTTTGTGCACTAGATATAAAAATGCACAGTTTTTTTTCAGTTTTTTCTTATTTGCATTATCAAAAAAGTATGGATTATTATACAGGGTGATTCAAAATTCGATGTAAATATTTCAAGGGCGTATTGTGGGGATCAAAATAAGACTTTTTCTTCAAATCAACATGTGTCCTAAAATGCACTCCCTCCGAGCTACACTGTAAGGTGGGAAAAAAAAACAAGATTATCTAAAACTGTGACTATAATAACGAATCGAATCTTCTGAAAATTGGCATACCCCTGTTTTTTTAGGCACTCTATTTTTTTTTGCTTCAAAAATTATGTAAACCCAGTTTTGGGGGAGTTGGAGGGGGATCCACACTTTTATTGGCCCAATTTTTATGTTCAAAAAGAGAAACTCCGAATTCGAATAGCATAATCTTATTGGCCATAAAAAAAACTAAGAATTCGGTGTCTTGCATTTTTGTCATACAACTAACCGTTTGCCAGAAAATCGTAATCAACGAAAGGGGGTATTTTCACAAACATTGGTTTAAACGAAAATTAAAATAATCCCTGTATCCAAGTCAACAACTCCTTTGGTCAATCAAGCATAGAAATTGAAAATACATGGAGGACATTATTCAAGGACAAATCAATTATAGGGATTTACAAGCTGTAAAATATCGTTTACTTTACTCCCAGGAATTGTCGGCCACCCCCTATTCAAAATTAGGTAGGTAACAGGCAACTGTTTATAAATCCCTCTCATCACCTCGGTAATGTCATTAAACACTAATCATTGTTAGTTGTCAGATTTTAGCTGGTTGATTACACTTGTTATTGCGATCAAGAAATTTGTTTAAGTTAAAAATGGAAAATGTGCCATTCTCTTTCGCTCATCTTGCTGACATTCATTTTGTTTATGGTCTGGCTGATGGTAACGCATTGGAAGCCCAAAGATTATACGGAATTAGGTTTCCTCAACGCCGACTCCCCGATCATCGTACATTTACAAATTGTCATCGTCATCTCAGTGAATACGGCAAATTCCAAACTGTAAGAAATGATGCAGGCAGGCCACGAGAAATTCGCCACCCAGTAACAGAGGAACAAATTTTAAATATGATCGACGAAAATCCCCAGTTGAGTACTAGACAAATATCTTTAAATTTGGGTATTTCCCAATCAACTGTGTGGCGCGTTATGCACGAAAACAGCTTATATCCATATCACGTCCAACGTGTTCAAGGTTTGCTGCCACGGGATTTTCCGCGGCGTTTGCAGTTCGCTAGGTGGATATCCAGGAAGTGCACGAGGGATCTTAACTTTTTATCTCGGATCCTGTTCACCGACGAATCTCAGTTTCCGCGAGATGGTGTGGTGAATTATCACAATGTACATGTTTGGGCACTGGAAAATCCGCATGAAATAAGGCAATCCCGCCATCAGGAACAGTTCAGTTTGAATGTATGGGCAGGAATTGTTGGAAATGAGCTTATTGGTCCTTTCTTTTTTCCAAGAGTTTTAAATGGGGACACTTACCTAGATTTTTTGCAAAACGATTTGCCCGGTTTATTGGAAAATGTGCCTTTTAACATTCGTCTACGCATGTGGTTCATGCATGATGGTGCTCCCCCTCATTTCCGTTTAACAGTACGCCATCATTTGAATCTTATTTTTCCAAATCGTTGGATTGGTAGAGCTGGTCCAATAGCTTGGCCGCCACGTTCCCCGGATTGCACCCCATTAGACTTTTTTTTATGGGGATATGTGAAAAGTGCTGTTTATGATGCTGGGCCCGTGCATTCGGTTGAGGTCCTCCGTCAACGCATCATTGATGCTTTCCAAAACATAAGAACCACTCCTGGGATTTTAGAACGTGTTCGACGTTCTATGCAAAGAAGAATGGAAAGTTGTATAGCAGCAAGGGGAGGACATTTTCAACATTTATTATGAGATTAATAATTATTTAATTACCCAATAAAGTTAGTTTGATGTTGTGAAAGTACCCCCCTTTCGTTGATTACGATTTTCTGGCAAACGGTTAGTTGTATGACAAAAATGCAAGACACCGAATTCTCAGTTTTTTTTATGGCCAATAAGATTATGCTATTCGAATTCATAGTTTCTCTTTTTGAACATAAAAATTGGGCCAATAAAAGTGTGGACCCCCCTCCAACTCCCCCAAAACTGGGTTTACATAATTTTTGGAGCAAAAAAAGAATAGAGTGCCTAAAAAAACAGGCGTATGCCAATTTTCAGAAGATTCGATTCGTTATTATAGTCACAGTTTTAGATAATCTTGTTTTTTTTCCCAACTTACAGGGGCTGTAGCTCGGAGGGGGTGCATTTTAGGACACATGTTGATTTGAAGAAAAAGTCTTATTTTGATCCCAACAATACGCCCTTGAAATATTTACATCGAATTTTGAATCACCCTGTATATTAGTATTTTATTTTCTACTTGTTTTTAGTTTCCCTATCTATAAAAGCATGTTTTTTCAGTTTTTGAAACTACCATTTATTTCAACTTCTTTTTAGTTCACTTGAATTTCCCAATTTTGACAAAAAATTATAATATCTGAATCCTAAAACCCCACCCCAGACTAAAATTTTGAATAGAATCGGAACATAATTAGAAAACTCATATTTGCAATATTTTATCTACCATCTTGAATTCCCTAATTTTGACAAAGGAATCATAATTTTTGATCCCGAAAATGCCCACTTACAAATTATGAATAGAATCGGTATATTGTCCAATAAAATGAGCATACTTGATAAGTGAATAAACACTTGTTTCTAGATCAACGAGAGGGAAGCAACTACCCAAAATGTGTACACCATATTTGAATATCTGGCAATTAAAACTTGAAACTGGTACTCAAGGTACTGTTAACAGGTATTTGAATACTGAAGTACTTAAAACGAGACTTAAAAGCTTATTAAATATGTACTTAATGTATTAACAAATGATACTGAAAGTACTCAAAATTCCATGGTGTACATCTATTCAAAGAGTTTTTTCCCCCTCGGTATGTAATTACAAAACTCGTCCGGTATATTGGTTCCACTTTCTTGAGTTTCCAAATCCCGCCCTTTTCAAATTTTGACAAAAGAATCATAATCTCCAACCCCGAAAACAACCAGATAACAATTTTGAAAAGAGTCAGAGCATGATTACAGTACTCTTCCGCCATATTGGGTCCGCCATCTTGAATTTTCTAATTTTGACGACAGAATCATTATCTCCGACCGAGTCTCCGACTCCTAGAACCACCAGATGCCAAATTTGAATAAAATCTGATCCTAATTACAAAATCCGCCATTTTGGATCCGCCATCTTGAATTTCTTAATTCTGACGAAGGAATCATGATCCCCGATCACGAAAACCCCTAGGTACCAATTTTGAAAAGAATCGGATTATAATTACAAAACTCGTCCGCCATATTGGTTCCGCCATCTTGAATTTCCAAATTCCGCCCGTATTTTTGAATTCTGACGAATCATAATCTTCGACCCCGAAAACTCCCAGATACCAATTTTGAATAGAATCGAACCATAATTGCAAAACTCGTCCGATATATTAGATCCGACATCTTGAATTTTCCAATGGTACCGGGATAAAAAGTATCCTATAACCTTCTCCTGGTTCTAACCTACCTCCCCACCAATTTTCGGCCCAATCGATCCAGTAGTTTCGGAGCCTATTCAATACATACAAACAAACAAACAAACAATCAAATCTTTCCTTTTTGGATGTATGATAAATTGATATTCATTATTCAGGACGTGGAAAGAAATTCTGAATTGAGAAAATCTAATCACGAATCTGCGATTGAGGTCTATAAAAATAACAAGTTTCCATCGTTCAAGTTTGAACCCCTTGATTGAGTGGCAGTATTGAAAAGAAATATTCTCAGATATATTTATGAACACAAAAAAATGGATATACATTATATATTATAAGATTCTTAATGGAGGCATCCTAGATAGACACAATTTCAACACTCAAACTCATCTTTATTCAGTCAGGAAAAATACAACATCGACAAGTGATTCGTTCTACGATATTAATCGACTGAACCTGCTTCCTTTCATCACAGGATGATTACGAATTCCGATGAGTCGTCGAGGCCGCTTGTGATAAAGGCATTCCTTAGGCTAGGCGCTTGGCGTTCTTCTCATTTACGGGGCGATCTGAACTCCGTCGCTAACAATATGAAGAAATCCAAATCTTTCCCTTAAATACTGCCTGTAGGTTAATTGAGGAGGTGGTACATTCATTATTCCAAATTTTTTCAATACAAATTGTCACTGACAAGCTAGTGCATTTTTATTTCAGGCTCTCTGATAGGAAAAACGCAGTGACATTTTGGGGCAAATCATCTGATTTGTCCTTACTAGGTACACGTGAAATAATATTCATATTTTTATTTTATAGAAACGAGGAGAGAAAATCCCAAAAAATTTTGAATAATGAAAAATCTTTCCTCTTTATAATATTAGTATAGATGAAGTGCAGATGTGCGGCGGCCAGGAACCCGTCTATCTATACTAATATTATAAGGAGGGAAAGTTTCGTTGGTTGTTTGTTTGTTTGTTGGTAATGAATAGGCTCCGAAAATAACAAGAAAAATTAACATTAGAAGCCGAGATCATCCCTGATGAACGTAGGCGACTTTTTACCGCGGGATACTGTTTCATTCCTACGAGAAAACCAGTAATATTACAACGGGTATTGAGAATTTGCCTTCCGTAATTATCTTTATCTACAACTATGAAGTCAAACATTTAATGACAGACATTATTGTAATGAATCGAGTAATAAGAGTAATAATGACAGTAGGATGGCGTAATAATCTGACATCTCATCGTCTTGTCAAATTCAACTTTGTGACATACACGAAAATTCAAAAGACACCTCACATGGTTCTCATAGTTTTATCACCTTAATTCTACAAATACAAGGCAAAATGAGAATTCATTGTTTTTCATTCTCAACAGTGACTACCAACATGAGTAACCATAACCATAAAATAGGACTTGACACTTGACAGTTGCAGATTGGGCTCACACTTATGTGCGGGCTATTCGAATAGACACACAGACCAATCAGAACTATGGAACTTTATTGTTGATAATTAGCGTCTAGAGACAGGGTACTACAATTAATCATCGCGGTGGGGGAATGCTACAGCGGAAGCAAGTTAATGAATAATCTGCAATAGTATGATTCATTTTAGATCTGAAAAGTGAAATGGCATATAATACCTGGTAATATTGACTGGTATGTGATTGCACGACTTTTTTTCTGTTAATAAAAGTTAGATCCAACATTGTTTATCATATTACCTCACAATCAAAATTATTGAAATGAGTTATAAGCTGTTCGTTATTGAAATTTCTGTCAATAACTTTTCGATGAAATTAGTGAGTATTTCAAATCAGATTCAGTGATTTTGCAATATAATAACCTTCATTATTTCCATAGATATTTCTGAACTCTCAGAGTTGCTATGATATTCGAATATTTCAGATAAAGTATAGTATTCTACTCGCACATAATGTCTATTACCCACTCAGATGATTACAGCACTCGCCTTCGGCTCGTACTGCAACTTTCATCTTCGTGGGTAGTGGGTAATAGCCATCATTATGCGCTCGTTGAATAATATACTATTTTCACATATGTTCTAAATGGTTGAACCGATTGTGTTGAAATTTTATTTGATGGTTTCCTGAATGAATTAAAAATACAATTGGACGTGGTAGATGGGGCTGCTGTCGGTACGTCAACTACTAAACGACTTGACCTGGGTTGAAATTTTCAATACGTGAAACAACAAAAAAATACATAGGATACTGACAGAATGAAAATAGGTGTAAGTATAGAATAGTTGCTATAGGGAAGCACAAGAAATTGAAAACAAAAAAATCGAAAAATATATACTGTATACAGTGTGTCCTTTAGTGCGTAATTCTTTGATATCTCGAAAGCCATAACCAAAGGTGGATATATGTATGGTGAAATAGCTCCCTCTTACAAAACCCTAGAAATTTTTGAAGACCTCTGGCCTACTTGATTATGTCGAATTCTATCACCGTAGTAAGGCCGCGCAAAACTAACGCTAGATGGCGCTGTTCCCGAAGTGATCTTGCTACACAATGGTTGTTTTGTTGTTTACATTTACGTATGTTAATTCGTAATTTCAAAACATTGAGAAAAAGTGATAGATTTAATGAAATAGACGTGAAATTTTCATTATATCTGTGAAGTATATGTGGCACGATGTTCCCTACGCCATCTACAGTCAATCCGGTGCGGCCTTGCTACGGTGTTTCGCGGTCTACACGTTTTGGAAAGAAACAATTGACAAGTGGTTACACCAGTCTATTTTCATCATGCCATAACCTATAGAAAAAAACTTTGGAGAAAAAAACTTTTTCAGTTACTGAAGTTGCTCATTTCGAAAATATTTTCAACATTACTGGGTGTTTTTATGAAAGCGGGACGACTCGGAGACGAGTTATTTTAAATGGAACTCCCAGTATTTAATAATTTCATTGTTTTTGAATCTGAATAAATAGGTGATCGGACTCAATAAAATTTATTTTATACCAGCATCATTACTACTCCATTATTTTCAAATCGAAATATTCCGAAAACGGAACACAGTATCGAGTTTAACCAAGAGTACCTTTTTGGTGTGAAATTGAATGATGTTGAAGTTCACATCAAATTTGGATTGAAAAATCTAACCTCAAAAAAGTTATGTTCAAAACTACTCGATACGAACCATGTGACTATCGCCGTCTATGAGAGTCAGATATAAAAACAAATGCATGCGATGTGTCAGATTCCAAGAAATATCCATACAAAATTCCATCACAATGTTGCCAGTAGTTTCGACATAATCTTGAAAAATGTGTTAAAAAAATATTGTTTTCAACACCTTGTATCTTGATATTCTTGATAACGGATGCCGTTACGAAATTTTTTTACTGAGTAAACCCAACTTATTTTGCAGTGTTTTACCCACCCTAGTAAGGGGGTCAGGTTTTCTTGAAACACCCTGTATAAATTGCACGTTGCTCCATTCATCCAACAAAAGAGTTGTGTTTCCACCATGTCACGATATAGTGGATGATTAGTTAATACATATTGATTTATAAGAGGTAATGCTTGGCTTAATAGTTTGCGAGAGGTAATATTAAAATAGGCACTAATTGTTTAGGGGTAACTGAAAGTACGAGACTACATTCAAACATAACAGTATTTATAATAGCATGAAACATTATGGGTGAAGTGATGACAAATATGAATAATCAACAATGAATATAAAGACCTAATAACAACTTACATTATAATGACCATACGACGAGCTCTTGTCAAGTCAAGAGTAGCCCCAGACCAGACTCACTTCGGAACCCTCACATCCAATATTTATATACACAATTTTATTAGAAATGCACGTTTCTCATGAGAGTTCCTTGGTCAGTTTTTATAATTCAATGTCAACGGATGATTTGATTTACTTTATGTTTATAAAACCCTCATGGTTCGAAATTACTGATATACCGTATGTTCTACTCGTGACAATATGTATTCGATATCAGACCTTTTTGCGTAAGTGATACAAGTGATTTTTCATTTTCTTCAGATCTGTCCTTTCCTACTGCGAGTATTTGTGTCCTCCGGAGGGCAACACCACAAACCCTCCGACTATATGAAAGGCAACACCCCGCAAAACGAGCTGCAAATCTACACATGGCGAGATGCCACTCTACATGAACTCACGCAGCTGGTCAAAGAGGTAAATTGAGGGATGGGAAAATTGAACTCTTAGTTATGAAATTATATTCCACTTGATATTTTGGGATCGGTTAAAAAATAACTGAGCTAGAGGGGAAACATTCATAGTGAATCACCCTGCAAAGATGCTGGAGTTGTCTACCCCTCAAAACTTTCAAATTTAAATTTTCAATCGTCTCATCCTTAGGTGAACCCCGAAGCTAGGAGAAAGGGTACCAAGTTCAGCTTCGCCTCTGTGTACCCCGACATGAGGCAGCCCTTGTACAGGGTGAGAGAAATAGGCAGCACCATGACGGGGGTCAAGGGACCCGATAATGTCAAGACTTTGGGGCTGTTGAGGCTGAACATCGGGGATTATTTGGATATCGCTATCACGCCCCCGGATTCTTGGAATTCGGTCAAGCGGGGGTATTCTAATAATTACAACACGAACAATTACAACGCGAATAATTACAACGCGAATAATTACAACACGAATAACTATAATATGAATAATAATTATAATAATAGATCTAGGCCATACTGATTTTCTCTGTATAATGTATCATCTCAATAAAGTTATTTTTCCGTCTACTTCGTATTTACAACTTTGATTATATTACAGGGTCACTCTACACTGTTTTACCACCCTCAAGGTGGGATTTCCTAGCGACGTCCAGCGTTCGCGACCCGCCGTTACGTCTGGCAGTTGAGACACGTATAATACATAACCTGTGTTCGGTATCCCCAAAACCTCAATACGCGGCTGGCTGGCAAGGTGGATGCAAGAAAGATATCAGGCATACAAAGACACAGTAAACTGATGGTTGGAACACTGTCAAAAACAGTGACTAACGACATTCTGAGCCTAAACAGAAGTCAGATCAAACAAGTGACGGGACTAATAACCGGTCACTGCCTCTTGAGGAAACATATGCATCAAATGGGCATCTATACAGACGAACCCATATGCAGACTATGCAATGAGGAGGAGGAAACTGCCACCCATGTAATATTGGAGTGCGAAGCACTAGCGCGTTGGAGATACAACCTTCTGGGAGCAGTAAACTCTCAAGAGGCATTTTCAAAGAATGATCTGGTGAAGAGGCTGCTAAACCTCATCAAGGTAGCGAACCTGTTCACCTAAGTCAACAGCATGATCAGGAATACAATAGGCCCAAAGGCTGCAGTGTTTTGGGCTTCAAACCCTGACTGATCATTCTGCTATTAATTAATCAATCAATCAATCAACCCTAATGTATTTGTATTCAACCGTTTTCCTAGAAGCGGCGCGACTTGACGTCCCAACGTCCAGCCGTCAGCGGCTGCGTCTCGGCTGCTCAAAAACATGCGAACGTAGACTTCAGACGTTACTGAATTCAAAGCAGAGTGGTTGAATATTATTATCAGAAAATGTCTCAAAAATTTACCAATGACGACGATGAGTTATAAATCGATCAAGGTCGTGAATTTGCATGTATCTAGGACCATGCAACCAAAGATTTTACAGATCAAATTCAGGAAAATTTGTGGAACCAAATTGCCACAGTTTTCATCCTGACAACCAGCAGTTTTTTATTAAAACACAGTCAACTCTGAACAAAAAATACTGTTGCCATGGCAGGTATATGTTTCACCTGGTCTCGCAACTACCATAACGCGGTCGCCGGACGCTTCAAGCAAATCATGAAATCGCCGCTGCCAGTCGTTATACAGGGTGTAAATTCGGAAACTTTCAATGTGAATATCTTGCGAAATAAAAAACGCCGCTTGGCAAAAATGCTAAAGAGTTAAGGGGAACTAGAACCACCATATTTCAGTGAAGGGATGAGTCACCCTGTCAGCGCAACACACCCCAACTTTGAAATGTCAAATGGCACTACCTCTTTTGTGATACCTCAAATGAACGGTCTCAGTCAGTAGTATTCACCTGTACAAGACTTTTTTTCCACCCACTACAGGGTGTACGAAAAACATTAATTCGAGGGTCTAAATTTGAAAACTTTCAATGCGAATATCTCGCCAAATAAAACAGTTAGGAAAACGCCGTTTGGCACAAATGCTACAGAGTTAGGGGGAACTAGAACCACCATACTTCAGTAAAGGGATGAGTCACCCCGTCGGCGCGACACACTCCATCTTTGAAATGTCAAATGGCACTACCTCTTTTGTGATACCTCAAATGAACGGTCTCGCAGTCAGTAGTATTCACCTGTATAAGACTTATTTTCCACCCACTAGACGGTGAACGGAAAACAAAGTCGAATAAAATAAAATGCAGAATGTCGATATATTCCAAGAGATGTGTTCCAAAATGTTGGAATGGCATTTGAACATCGATTATACTATTGCTTACAACAGAATGGAATGCATTTTGAACATCTGATCAAATAAAATATCCTCTTAACACAATTCATTTTATTTTATTCGACTTTATATTTTTCGTACACCCTGTAGTGGGTGGAGAAAAAGTCTTGTACAGGTGAATACTACTGACTGAGACTGTTCATTTGAGGCATCACAAAAAAGGAAGTGCCATTTGACATTCCAAAATTTGGGGTGTGTCGCGCCGACGGGGTGACTCATCCCTTGACCGAAATATGGTGGTTCTAGTTCCCCTTAACTCTTTAGCATTTTTGCCAAACGGCGTTTTTCTAACTTTTTTCTTTCGCGAGATATTCGCATTGGAAGTTTTTAAATTTACACCCTGTATACTGCTGGACGTCGCGGTGAGCCGCGAACGCTGGACGTCGCTAGGAAATCCCACCTTCAAGGTATCTTTCCTTCAGACACTCTTTCAGGCGCTGCGGATCGGGTTCTATAATAGTTATTTATAATTATTTTATTTCTCGGGCGCCACCTATTTTATAGTGCACCGGGCAACTATCATTGAAGAAAGTTTATTCCAGGGGCCAAAATGTTGAAGTATCAAAGTAACAGAAGTGTTCAATGAATCAGAACTATTTCCCTGGGTGACTGGTTGCACTCAGTAAATAAATAATACTACTAATAATTATGATACATTTTTTATTGTTCTATTAGGAATCTATTATCTGCAATGCGAAAGTGATATTACCTACTTTTTCTCCATCTAAGAATCTATATTTATATGCATGACTAAGTAATTTACAAGTTATATACAAAATGCTTTATTCATACCTCCATTTATAATAACGAGCACGCATGAGAAGCTGAAAGCAGAATGATCAAAAGTGAAATGACCAGAGGAGGCAAAAGTAAAAGTAAACTTATCACCGGATGCAAAAGTGAAATGACTGCTGGAGTTAGAAGTAAACTTATCACCGGATGCAAAAGTTTAATGACTGCCGGAGTTGAAAGTAAAAGACAAATCAATAAATTCGGGTTTTGTTTACCTCGACAACTTGTTTCATTAATAGATTAGATGAAATTGGATTCAAGATATATAATCTCGAGGCTATCATTTTATCAATTAACTATTGTAAAATAGGTATGCGCCAATTTGGACTTTTAATGGTGTTTGTAGAAAAATACTGTATGAAATACCTGCTGAAAGTGATTTTATTTCGTTCGAATAACATCACTTTTAGCACTTATATCATTAATAACCAGTGACGGCTTGTCAGGGACGGCAGAGTCGGCCGAGTTGTACCAGAAAATTGGAGGAAAAAAGCTGGACTATTTGATGAATAACATAATTTTTCGAACGCCAATTCTCCACCTTAGGTGAGCCCCGAAGCTAGGAAAAATGGCACCAAATCCAGCTTCGCGTCGTTCTAATCCGACATGAGGCAGCCCTTGCACAGGGTGAGAGAAAGGGGCCCGATGAGGTCAAGACTTTAGGGCTGTTGGGGCTGAACAACAGAGATTATTTGAATATCGCGATTACGCCACCGGATTCTTGGAATTCGGTCAAGCGAGGGTATTCTAATAATTACAACAGGAATAATTACAACGCGAACAATTACAACACGAACAATTATAATATAAATAATTATAATAATATATCTAGGCCATATTGTTTTTTTGGTATATCCTAAACGATGCGGAGTTGCCGCTCTTATTAAAAAGTAACAGCAACTTTGATTTTTCAAATGGAACACCCTGTATTTAATTGCAATTGAAGATTCTCACTGAAGAGCTGACTTCATCAATGTATCACACATGATGGAGGTCTAGTGGGAATGATTACAGAAATATAGGGTGGTCAAAATCGAGATTTTTCAATTTCAGGATTGTTTTGTGTTGAAACTCATTATTCGACGGAACGGCCATCTTAACTTTTGATTCAGTATTTACTGACATTCAATTGGAACTGATATAGGGTGATGAGAATTCTGAATCATGAATAACCACCATGTATTTGTTCTAATTAAATGACAGAGTAGATATAGTAAAGCAGAAAAAATCCTAAACTTGAAAAATCTTGATTAAGAACACCCTTCATCTCTGTAATCGTTCCCGCTAGACCACAAGTTTAGTGTGATATATTGATGAAATCATCACTCCAGGAAGAATTGGAAAATGCCATGAGATACAGGGTGTTTCTTTGAAAAATCATAGTTGTTGCTACTTTCTAGTAGAAGTGGCAACGCCGCATTGTTTATAATATTATAGACGTGTAGATCATGATAATTTATACATACCATAAGATTAAGAAACTCATCACTATTAAATCTGCATATTGTCCACATATGAATTCTCAAAACACTTCACAAAACACCGACACAACAAAGAATAACGCGATGTAATCACTATACCGAACGATGTATTTGAAAGACACAATCACTCTCTTTTTATTAAACACAGTTGTATAATTGAAACAGTTCTTTTTCTTCGGCTATATATCACAAAATCGAGATTTTTAACTTAAGGATTTTTTTGTGTCGAAACTCATCATTCGTCGAAGCGGCCATCTTAACTTCTGATTCAGTATTTACTGACATTTAATTGGAACAGATATAGGGTGATGAAAATTCTGGATCATGAACCACTATGTATTTGTTCTAATTAAATGACAGAGTAGATTGTAAATCAGAAGTTGATGAGATGGGGACAGTGATGCCATTTTGACTAATAATGTATAGTCTCTACACGAAAAAATCCTAAAGTTGGAAAATCTTGATTTGGAACGCTAGACCCCAAAGGTGATGCATTGGTGGAACCAGCTCTCCAAGTAAAATCTAAAAAAAGCAATGAAAAACAGGGTGTTCCATTTGAAAAGTTATAGTTGCTGCTACTTTCTATCAGACGTGGCAACGCCGCTTCGTTCAAAATATTCAAGACCTGTAGATTATACATACCATCAAATTTTCAGATTCATTTTGTTGCTTGGTTTGTCAGAAACATCTAATTGAAGTTAATTGTGAGATAAACCATGTATACTATTTCTAATATACTAGTGACTAGATTCTTGCTGGACACTGATACGAGCACTTTCATGTAGATCGTACGCGATGACATCTAACAAAAGACTGACACGAATTATATCACCGGTTCCCATAAGCTTCCTAAGAACTGAAGATTCTGCACCGACGTTCCCAGGGACCTCTTAGATTTCGCTGACTC